GCAGAAGTAGTAAGCTTCTACCAGGGCCGAGCCACCCATGTTTTTATAATGTTTTGCCTACTGGTCACATCCAAATCACTTCCAGTTTGAAGAAGTTGCAAACAATATATAATCAAAATCATCCAGCCTCACATGAAAGCACGTGCTAAGTACCTCATTACATCTGTTTTGTATCATGAACAGTTGCCTCCTATAAGCAAAGCATGTTTTAATAATGGTTATCAACACCCTGACATAACTTTCATAATAGGAGAGGCCAACTTTCTATGCCTGGATAGCTCTTTGACCAGAAAATTACCACTAATCAACAGAGTTAATTTCGACAGTGTGAATTTTGTTGTTGGAAAAAAGCCATTCAAACCCCACCTGTTCCATTTTCTCTACAAAATAAATCACAGGCTTGTTCATGCTGGCTGCAGAGCTAATGGACGCATGTCGAATCATCTCTCACACAACCAAGAAAACTTCCTTCACGCCACCAGCACCCCTGTTGATGCTGTTATTTGATGTCAGCATAGAAAGGCTCCCACCATGGTGCCCTATGACACCTGCCGGCAAGGCACCCCTATCAACCACATTTTGTCAAAAAACAACCTTAGACCTTAACAATCTAAAAACAAAAACAAAAAACAACAAAATATTAACCTGACAAGACCTAATGAAAATGGTGGACAAAAGCCAAAAGATGCTTCTCCACTCGAACATGCAGCAGAAGAAAGAAAGAAAGAAAGAAAGAAAGAAAGAAAGAAAGAAAGAAAGAAAGAAAGAAAGAAAGAAAGAAAGAAAGAAAGAAAGAAANAAGAAAGAAAGAAAGAAAGAAAGAAAGAAAGAAAGAAAGAAAGAAAGAAAGAAAGAAAGAAAGAAAGAAAGAAAGAAAGAATTTTATGAACCATTTTATTCCCATTTCAGATACAAAATGAAAAGGGGCTGAGGTCTTCAAATACAAATTTCCAAATTGCATAGGAACACACTTTTTTTTTTACTTGCCATCTTCCTAAACTGAAAGCATAGCAGAAAAGCATCCATAGCGATCCAAAGCATCTTAAGGATTCATAATAATCATTACGGAATATTCATGAATTTGTTTGTGGGTTTAATAAATTTTTACCAGACAACTTGAAAAATGTTGCACAGAACTTTTCAGATAAAATGACCTGCAGGAACAGACCGTTCTTACATTAGCCTTAACCAGTTATTAAAGATAATCACAACACTGATGTTTGGGCAAATATATTTTTTCAGAGTCAACGTTGTCAAGACAGCAGCGCTCTCTGCAGAGGCTCTACAATAGACCAGTATCAGCCGTACAAACAACATAAAACAATGTGTGCCATTTAAAGTAATTTGGTAATTTAAAGGGTTTCTGCACTTTGCCTTGTATCTCTGAAACCCTGGCTGTTTCTCAGGCAGACCTGAGTTGCCTCAGTAACCAGACACACCAACGATGTGCAAAGTCAACTACTTCTGGACCAAATTCAAATCCGAGGGCAATGCTGACATAGGCTGAAAGCAGTCCACCCCCTTTCCAATTCAAATGACCTGTTTTGCATTATTTGGAAAATCCCCCTGAGCAGGATCATGCTATCAAAACAAATGCTGGGCTTTAAGATAACAGAACCAAAACTTAGCCGGGCTGCTGTCACAGCTCATTATGGTCAAACTAACCTGAATGGATGCTGCTATGGGAAACCATACTGGCTATGCAAAGCATTGTTCAGAGAGTTTTATGCTCTCAAATGAGTTTGAAGTTGAGCTTTGCAGTTTGAGCGAACCTACATTGCTTGTGCCAAAGTGTTTAAAAGCCCAGTTAAATTTTAAACATGTAATATAATGTAGTGCATGGTTCTAAAGAAGGACAAGTGAAAGGTAGTTTTAAAAATGTACACTTAAGAATAACAAAAAAATGTATTTTTAATGCTCTTCTCTATTCTAAATTCTCTATTCTAAAAGGCCTTTTATTCCACCACAAATATTGAGTTGTGGTTTAAATCCATTTTATTTTGGCACCAAGTGTTCTTCCATTAAAAAAAAAACAAAAAAACTGTTGATCTTCCTCTCTGAAAACAACCAAAATAAATAAAATAAATATCAACCCTCTGATATGTGTGCTATGGTCACACATGGCTAACAACAGGGAATCGACCACAAATGTTTCTACAGTAGCAAAAAGTATATCCTATTATAGAGTATATTGTTTTTGTTTTTTTGTTTTAAAAAAAAAAAACTTAATTCTGGAAAGTTTTTCCACAAAACACTGTGATATAGTAATAGGTCATATTAGCTAATTCCACAAGGTAAGATTACCTCAGAATTAAGGGAGAAATATTGAGATGGTGTATTGTTTGTGGGTCCAACCAGTCCCACAATTTTAAAGCAGAAAAAATACTCCGACATGATTTCTGATGAGATGTTCAAGAACATCAGATATATGTGTAGCATTTTGTAATCTACTGTCTCCGGACGATCTTTTATTTCCAGGTGGATCATCTAAATAAGTGGTCCTCCTAATTGTCAATTATTCTAGTGATATGTCGCCATAGGCTGCCGCTACCCAACAGCGGCAACTAATAACAAAGATGGCGCAGGCACCTCACAGTAGACCAGTGTGGGATTGATCGTCTGTTCAAACGGTAAGTTAAATGAGTTCACGATAAACTCCACTATATAGTCCCCGCTCTATATAGTGATTTAGGAATTTAGGGGTTAAAGCGGACGTTCGGGCACATTAAGCTTGCATGAGCTATGAAAAAAGCGACTTTAAAACAGAGCGTACACAAGGAGAAATGGACTTATGCATGCTCTCGCACGTGCATTTTTTTGTGGAGGGAGCAAGTTTTTCTTTTTTTTTATTCGAGAAAATCCTCCAAAATACCTTTAAATGCATTATGTTTATACATTTTTTGTAGAATTTTGGTTATAATTGCTACTGAAGGTGGGTTGCTCTGTCAGCTAAAGACATGTTGTACCATGTCTACACTGAAGATAACGATTCATCAATTACTAAATCGTTTCACGATTATGTCAATAATTGATTAATCACGATTAATTGGATTAATTGTTTCAGCCCTAATTATAACACCATTTTTTTGGTAAAAGAGGTCAAAGTTAAGCACCGTGGTGGCAGCTACATGGTCTTGGGGTATTTTTTTCAATTCTATTTCATTTTATTAGATCTATTTCAAGTACACTTTGTTCATCCCAAAAGGAAATTAAATGGTGTTTATAGAGTGAGTAGAAAATTTTGGTTCAAGATACTTTGCATTCAGTCCCTCTCTGTTTAAGCTGTTTTGCAAAGAAGAATGGGACGGAGATGTGCAAATCTGGTGAAGACACACTAGAAACACATGCGGCCACAATAATTCTACATAGTAATTACTTAGTGGGTGAATATAAGGCCCTATCGAACTCAAGCATTTGTAAAAGTGGGTTGCTCTATCAGTAAACATCTAATGCACAGGGGTTTCTGGTTTTAAAATGAAAAAAAGAAAGTAAAAAAAAAAAAAAAAGGGAAAGACAGTGCACCAAATGCATAATCTATTATCGAATTCCTGTGCTTGTAAATAAAAATAAGATTTAGGCATGCTAAAAATGGGGATATTCTTCAAGTTAATCAGGCTCATTCAAAAGTGAACAAAGATAAGTAAATTTAAACAAACAAAGGCCGTAATTCAGCTTCAGAGAACATCAGGGTGGTGATCTTTCTTGTTTTTTAATTAATTTGACATCTTTCAGCACTAATACAGTATCTGATTTCTAGGCAGCACCAGCACACAGTCAAGCAGTTTGACAGACGAGAGAAAGCAGCAGGCTGCTGGACCAGCCGCTGAAATGTGTTCCTACACACAATCAAGTCCATTATGTATAAAAAACACAAAACTCAGCACACAAATAAGCCGCTCTCAATATTATTTCAATGACAGCCACAGTTCTATTTTCACCTTTGCTACTAATGGGTCCATTACTCCTACGTAAGCAACATTTACCATCCTGTCTTTGTCTCCAGATATGTCGGTGAATAAACTAATTGTAAAAATGGATTTTTCCTAGAACGTGTGTGCAACTGCTGGAATCGAGCTCAAACGTTGGATCCAATTATTCACCTGTGGAAAATAAAATCCATCTATGTAACTCTGCAGATGTTTGCTACAAATAAAAGAAGAGGTGATATGACACATTCTGACTCATATCCTAATCTCATTGAATACTAATTCAGGAAATAGCACACAAATAAAACAAAAAAAGAGGATACAGAAGAATTGTCGGTGTGGGTGTGTGTTGATGTGAGGGACATTGAGGAGTGGGGTAAACAGGGGGGCATTAACTGGCAAACCCAGACCACCAGTAGACTCTGGAGGACAAACAATCTCCCTAATTGAATTCAATCCCACCTCTCTGCAGGAGGCACCCAGGGAAGTGGATCCATTCATTCTGGAGAGCCAGGAAGCGTGCATGTTTGTGTGTCTTTGCGACGATGGATTGCGAAGGGGAAGGGCCTCGGCTGTCATGACAATTGAACGTGAAAAAGCATGGAAGATGAGTACAGAGCAGTCGGATATGCTTGGACAGTTTGGAAAAGCTGGTAGGAAGGGACGAGATTTGACATGTGAAAAAAAAAAAAAACGCGAACCAGCTGTACTTTTGCTTGATTATACCAAAACCTTAATTTGCATTAGAGAATGAAATCCAAACATGCTCTTTACATACAAAGAAAAAGATTCGCCTTGTTGCTGTCATAGAAATTAGAGGCTTATCGAAGGTGTTCTCCAGATTTGCATAGGGAGATGAGCACCCATCATAAATCATTTCAGTAAACACCCGACTGCACACAAGGAACAAGCCAAACTGGCTCACATGATTGCTCTTCATCACTGCACAGTGTTTGGCGAGGTGACTGCGACGGGGCACATATTGTACGTTTAATCTCGGATCGATTTTGTATTCATGAATTGCAATCAAACATTTTCAGCTCTGTTTATGAAGTCTGAAAAATGGCACAATACCTTAGCCTGAGAACGGAGGGCGGATCTTGAGTGCTGCTGATTACAATTCCTGCAATTCACATTCGAGGTGATAAAGGCATATTCTGTCCTGGAAAGAAACGGGGAAAGAGTTTAGGAAACCCACAGCAAGGCGTGATAATGGATATTTCTTTAAAAATAGATGATGAGAAACGATACATGGAATAATGAGACCAATTTAAGCACATTGCTTCATTTAGGCACATATCTAGGATCAAGACTTGTGACAAAATCCTTTTCTCACAATTTTAAAACATGAATAAATTTCACTGTTTTATATTTATCATACTACAATAAAAACACAACCTCGAGACCTTACATTGGTTGATTTGCAAAGACTAGTAATGTCATGCTGTTTCTCTTCACCTTGCCACATATACACTTAGGTAAATAAATGAATATATAGATATAATAATTATTTATTTTCAACAGCATAATTATTAACTTCTTACGGCCACATCAGACCTCTTTATTTAGGGTTTCTTCTAGGTCAACAGTTATTGAACGACATCTTCATAAATATTTCAGCCAGTTTTCTGCAGCTTCTCTCTGGCACTAAGACTGCCTGCCATACTATTCAGGTCACATCAGCTTTTAATGGCTGATTTATTAGAGCCCAACAGTGGTTTGGTGATGGGCTACAGGACAAAGAGCCTGTTTTAAACTGCATTAAGCCTCTGCAGTAAATATCCCATACAACATTAGCATTTTGATGACTGCCCTCCCATACACTCGTCAACCTTTTGCGCTGTCTCGTTACCCCTCCACCAGATGCACATCTCAGCCCTTCTTCCCTGTGTCCTTTCTCTCATTTAGTTCAATTTTTAAACATTCTTTTCTTCCATTCAAGCCACTTTGCTAAAAATGTTTACGCTGAATACCAGTATCTAAAAGCCAAGTAGTACTGTTTAATAACATCTGAATTAATGAACTAAAAAAAGAAATTCTAACTTCATTCACAGTTATTAAGTATATATAATTTATTTTTCACCTCTACAAATAAAGTATCTTTACCTGATTTTTAATCCTTTCTCACATGCAGTCATAAAACTGATGAGCACTATACAGCAGCTTCTGTAAATGCAGTTTCCAAGGAAGGTAATTCATAAATCAAATTAAAAAGACCCTTTGTCAACTGTGAATCTCCACAAATTAGAGTATCATTGAAAGTTAATTTATTTGAGCAATGCTTTTTTAAAGATTGAAACTCAAATACAAATTCATCTAAAAAAGTTTTAAATTTCTAAAACTGACCTCTAGGAGTTTAAAACATTACTCGCTTAATAGCTTACTGATGACAGAAACACAAAATCAGTTTTCTCTCCATAATTTGGAAATTATATTCAATCAATAACATATTTTAGTGTAGAAATGTTTAGACATACAACACATATGAGAAAGACTGCATTCAGGACAATATATTAACAAAAAGTTGAGTGTCCAATATCAAAATAAGTGGTCCTCGTATTTGTCAACCGTTCTGGTGATAGTTCACATAAGGGCACCCTACATGATCGTCCCTAAGGTAGCTATGTTTTTCTGCCCATGATCACTTTCAGGTGTATGTGTGGCGTGCTACGGTTTCAGCCAGTCATTAAACCTTGCCTTTCTATCCACGGTTCTTTGAAAACGGCCAAGGGTCGTAAGCGAAAAGGTGTCTACGAAGTGTATGAGAAGAAGAGAAAGGCCTCAGAAAAGAGAAACAAGACCAGGGTGTTTTTGGGAGATTCTTTCACATGATGGCGTACACCAAAAGTAAAGGTCGGGCTTCCCACTGATGCCTTGGTTGTGAAGTTTCTACTAGACAGCTAAAGGTTGGCATGCTATTTGGAGAAATCAATTTCACATCACTGCTATTAATGGACTTGTGCATGCTCTCTAACACGTTTATTGGCATTCTAATAGGGACCTTTAAAAATTTTTGCAAAAGTCCTCCCTGCACATTTAAGGAATAAAGCCTACTTAAAGAGTTTGGGTTAAATTCGGAAGTGTTCCAGGTGTTCAGACAGACATAAATGTGAAACAAGGTCTGAAGAGTCCTCCCTTTAAATTAAGTCTTTGCAATTTTCCACAGTCAGTGCTCACTTGTGAAGCCTTGTGTTTTAGTATGAAAAGCATTAGCACAAACATCAACCAGTTTCTCTTTCCTATATACCTGTTTCTAACATGCTTTTTCTTCCCACCAACCTTTCATTATCCTCTTTGACTGTCTATGAACACCCAACCTCTTAAAAAAGCCTTTTTGGCTTAAATCTCTCTGTGAAAGATGTCAGTGACACACTGTGATACACTTGAAAAGTCAGCAGCCTTATATGTTTGTGTTAAAAGTGATTGTGTTTTTAAAATATACTGATAATTAGTGATCATCATCAAACTGACCAGATTCAAAATTTTAACACTATACAGATGTATCTGTGTTTTGCTTTGGCTGAGATAAAAATGTTTCAATATATCATTTAAAAAGATTAGCGACAGTCAACAATTTCAGTCATTTATTTGTGAGACTAATCGCATGAGTCAATTATAAAAAAAAAAAGAAAATACAGTACCAAAAAATATGGGAGAAAAAATATCTGAATAATCGTGCCCATTTCTAAACATCATCTGGGCAAAATGACCAACCAATCTTGGCTTTCAATCGTGCTGCCAAGGGCTTGCTTCATCAAATCTGCTCTTCATTATGTTTGATCAAATTTAAGTCTCTGGCAGCGGATGCAGATGCTATAGGTCAACTCGGCTCAAAATGCTGTAGCTGGTTTGGTCAATGGAGCATCTGCCAATTATTTTGCAGGCCCGCGATTGTTTGGAAAGAAACCCGCTCACACCATATTGCAACAATTCCTACCATAAACTATCACACAAACTGAATGACTAACATGGGAAATAAAAAAAATATCCAATAGTGGACAAAACTTGCCTTTATTTTAGGCGTTTAATTTTGAATATCTTCCTCATACTCTATCGGATTTCTCCACTGAGCAGAGGAATCTCTAAGCTAAATACTGCTGGAATGTTCTGTGCAAAGATAAGCAACCATTCAGAAGAACAAGGCACTGATTTAAATGCTGCCTTACAAATCTACGTTTCACATTAAACAGACATTCCAGTTGGTTTGCATGTGGTACTGACAAGCAATAAGTGTTGTAGATAAAAGAAATTCCTCCAGCCAGCTAATGGACACAAAAATAAAATAAAACAAGCGAGGAAGGGGTAGCACTGCTAATCTCTGCAGCATTAAGACAAAACTCTCGTTTCTCTGGCAATAACAAAGTTAAAACTGTGGCCCCAAATAACGTTTACGCAAGTTGATATCTAACTGGGATGTGCCTGATAGGAATCATACTGTTTAAAATACTCTTTTATATGTATTTTTTTCATTTCACAGGTCTCTTAGGATTACTATTCTTCTGCTGTTGCTGAAAAAACAAATAAACCAGTTAAACCAAAAATTATGCACCAGGGAGGTTAACCAGAAATGCATTCAATGGGCCTGGAAACTCTAAATGAGAATATGTTTCATTTAGTTTCCACAGCTGTAACCTGTTCGGGCTCCAAATCCTATCACAGAGCAACAAAAGAAAGTTTAAGCCTTTAGCAGTGGACCTGGGTAGCATAACTTAGTTAACTCAACTAAACCTGTCAGCGAAAGTCCTTGTAGGACCATTCTAGGTTTCTGATATCAAATTTATACATTTATCTCCTTAAACCAGAAATAAACCTAATTAATGGATGATTACTCTGGAATATGTGAATTTATGAGCTTGATTATTCCTCTTAAAATGTCTATTGTACTAGATTTTACTTAAAGCATAAAAAGTTGCCTTATTTATAAGTCTCAACATGCTGACATTTTAAGGTTTGGATTAAACTGCCCATCCAAAAGGCCACTTTAAATTGTAAAAGAAAAAGGTCTGCATGTTAAGTACAGGCTGTCTAAGATTCCATTATGAAGCAAAACTGAGAGAAGGATTAATTTTACATCATCTCATTAACTTTTCACTGCCTGCTAAAGATATGCGACCATTTAAATTAGAAGGGAATGTGAGGCATTTTTTTTTTTTCTTCTAAAGAAGTGTGTTGGAGTGCCACACATACTATCCAGGATCACTAGAAAGCTAAAGTGAACAATTGTCCTCCTGCTGAAAAGCATGAGTGCGAGAGCCGGCACTGTGTGTTGCAACACACAGAAAATTGGCTCCTTTTCTTTGTCACATTATCCACTCCGCTCCGTTTTTTAGCTCCCTTGTCGAAAGAAGTGCGTTCTAAATTACAAAGTGATGAAACGTAGCATGACTCTCCAGCAGTCACTGCCACAATCTTACACCCAAATTTTATTTCACACTCCAAATGTGATTCATTGTAGTTATAGTGAGCTGATAGGGCTTGGTGTGTGGTTATGCTGCAGAAGACACCATTTCTGGTAATGCCTGACCATAATGTAGCATGTGGTAATGTTTTTCTTTCATGGACGATTTAGGATTTCATTATCATTAAGTATGTTAATTCCACAAAAAGATTCTACAGGAGAAGGAGAAGGTTGCGTTTGCCATACCACTAACATATATGTATGTTGTTGTTCTACTTTACTGTAAACAGTTTTCAGTTCTGCACACAAATTAAATGCAATTCATTTTAATTAACTCTAAGCCGGTGTTTACATGACAAATTTGTTCAAAGATAATTGAGCTGGAATTTGAGATCTTATCAATTCATGTTTGCTTATAGAAATGCATGCAAACATAAAAAAAAAAAATTGATACTCTTTATTATAACCAGGAGTTATAGAACTGCATAAAATGACACTGTGCGATTAGTAGTAAGTAATTTTAAGAGCTTAAATAGGAAGAAAAATGTGCTTGATGTTCCGCTGTCTAATATTCTCTTCATAAACCATATAGCAAAAAGAAAAAATATCCATCAAAACATAAACACATGGTTCAGAGTGAGAAGTCCAAATTTTACTGCTTGAAATTAATCTCTTTTTGCTTTTCTTTGCTCATGAAAATCCATTTACTTTAGCATTTATATATATATATATATATATATATATATATATATATATATATATAT